GGGAGGGTGGGGGGGGGGGGGGAAAAAAGGAGAAAAAGCCATGATGCACCTCGAGTGACTGCTATTGTAACACAAACAGCACCAGTTCCAAGGGATTGGTGGCTGCAATGAAATTCTCTTTTAAAACAACAAAGACACTTTACAAACTTTCGGAAGTGAAGATGGGATAGGCTGTGTTTGAGGAATATGCAATGCCTCATGTCAGCCACTGGCTGAGCTCTCAGGTAATACTGTACGCATGCTTCTTGCGTTAATGGGCACAAAAGCAGTTTTACGGAACAAAGCCTTATGTCCAACACAGAAAAGAAGTCCAATATGTTTTCCATGCATGTGTTTCCTCCCTGTCTCACAGAGAAACAATATGTTTGTATTCAGATTTCCCAGGCTGCCAAATTCCTCATCAAAATCACAACTACAAGACCTCTCCTGACCTCCAATCCTTCCAACAAGAGAGCCAAGGATCTTTGCTGTCAGATATTAGTGCCTGTACCCAACAGCTGACAGCACTCCTCCATGCCCATAAAGATCCCAGGTCTTTAACCCAAATCTATTCTTGCAAAAGCATCCACAGAAACAGGACCTTGGGAGGAGGTGGACTTCCAGTTCATCCACAGCAGCCCAGCCTTTACCTCCAACCTCTCTCCAGCTGGGGCTATAAAGACCCAGCATACTCTTGGACATTTTCCCAGTAATAAATAATGTATTCTCCCCTACCCAGGCTACAGTTCCCAGGCTTTTATCTCCCCTGTTGCCATATGTTGTTCCAGGGATCCCTGCTAACCCCCTGACATTTTCATCTGTCCGCAGACTCCGCTGTATGGCAACATGCCGCGTGTCAGGAAATCCCACCTTTGCTTGCACCACCAGAGAATTAGCACATAGCGAAAAGCTTTGGTGCTACCCCACCTCACCGAGCAGGAGTAAAGATGCATCAATTCAGTTTATAAAATATTTCTGCAAACCTGATTTAAAAAATAACCCCAAATGGCATCACTTCAGTTTGGAGGCAAGGGTCGGAGGTCTGGGCTCATAACCAACCTGTCAATTAGCTTGCCCTGCAAGATGGCAGGTAAAAGGTCGATGCCGTCAATCTGTCTGTCACTGGGAGGCTGCAGTCCCGCCAGAGAGAGGCTGGTGGTGAAGAGATCCATCACGTTGCCCAGCTGATGACTGACCTGAAAAATCAGCAGGAACGCATTTGCAAAAAGACCTTCAGTAAAAGCCAAAACGAAACAGGCTGGTTTCCACCAAAGCAGAAGTATTGCTTCCTGAACCTTCTCCGCTAAGCATCTTTTGAGAATATCTCCCTTTACGGTGCTGCAGTCACCAGCAAACCTCCTATTAAAATAATAAAGGAGATGATCCATAATTCTCCACTTCCAGGGAGCATTTGCATTTTGGTTCACTTTTTCATTTTCCTCTCTTTCTTCTCACTTCTCGCTATGCATCTACTTTACAGGAGCATGTTTTCGCAGAGTTGAACTTAATTTAGCAAATTCCAAGTCATTTGCGGCTTGAAAAAATCAGCACTTAAACCAAGAGGAAAAAAAAGTCCTTGATTTGTTACCTCTCCAGGTCATCTCTGGAGTCCAGAATACCCTGAGAGAGTTCCCAGAAAGCACACGGATAGATGGATAATAACAAAAAGAGCCCGATGACTTCATCTGCAAACCATTTCCAACAATTCAAGAACTGTAAAGTTGTGGTATTTTTAGTATGTATTTTAATAAGGGAGAAAAACATCTGGTTTTGGCTCCAATGGAGATGTGCAAGCTTTCCCCCCCTCCCCCCCTTGCTTTTTTCTTTTTTATTCCTTAATTGGAAGACATACTTATCTCTCTGGTCTTAATTATTTATATTTTAAAAATCTAAAAAGTCTGTTCTGACTGATTCTTTCTGAATCTTTGCTCCCATCCTCCCTGTGGTATGCTACAGTTATCTGCCGTAGGATGTTTAATTAGCCAGCGACACACTAAATTGAAGCAGATACATTCAAATCAAGAGCAAGACTGTTTTGCACCAGGATGCACCAGCACAAGATGCGACATGAAAAGAGCCTTTTCAGCCGTACCACTTGTTTGGAGACAAGAAGCCATCTGATACAAGCCCACATCTGTAAGTACAGAAGCACTTTCTGACTGAAATCCAAGTCCTAGCAGCAGCCCTGCGAATGTCAGTGTGAACATTACAATGCTGGGACTATCAAAGACTTTTTATCTCCAAATCCTCTTTCTACGCACAAATGGACCCCAGCCTGTAAGCTGACACTAATTATTTAAATACGACAACAAACGATAACATGATAAATGAATTTTTGCGAGATGCTGGCTCAAGAAAAAATAAGCTGAAGGGAAAATGCTATTTTTGCTGGGACACTAAGCCTTTTATTAAAAGACCGGGCTGAAAAAAGTGAACAGTTAAAGGAAGAATTAACAAGTTAAAAAAAGAAACTGGAGAAAGCAACATGCAGGGGACTGATTACAAGTTTCACATTACAATATCACATTACTTGATTACAGTAATTTCAAATTTTAATGGCTTTCATTTATCAAAAGGTGTTGGCAGGAACACATAATATTAAAGCTGCATGCAAGAATACTTCCACAACTCTTAAGAAGAAATCAAAGTGCAAAGCTCTAAGCACAAGAGGAAGCCTGGCCATGGAAACCCTTGCCCAGGAAAGCAGTTGGATCAGTAGATCTTGCAGAAGGCCTCAGGCATCTGAGGTTAAGCCTTATTCATGGGCATTGCTGCAGCAGGCAGCCTGAAAGAGGTCATGCTCAGCCTGTCCTTGTAGGCAGTGACAAATAGAGATGAGCCCACAAATCCCTCGCAAAAAGCAGATGTATACATGAAGTTCCCTTTCTGCATGGAGAAAAGGATGGGGATCTTCTGATACACAGCTGTGGAGAAGGAAACAGAACTGAGCCCTCCAATGGGGTAACCCTGCTTCTTCCTCTCCCCGGGGCCATTTGGTGAACATGGACCGCTGGGGAGAACCAAAGCCGGCTGTGCCGTCCACGAGATTAACTGTGGCAGGCAGCGCTGCGTGCTCCTTGGACCGTCCCCTTGCACAGGCTCTTCTCTGGTCTCAGATGTGCATGCAAAGAGGACTGACATTAAAAAAAAAAACCAAACAGTACACACGCGTTCAAAAAAAAAAAAACCAAACCCCAAACCCAAACCGTCAGCTCACACATTACAGAGCCGGACAGCCTCACGAGCCACTGGTGTTGGGAATGCTGCACTCCCTCTGAAGTCAAAGGGGATTACAAGTGCTCAGCATCTCGGCAAAGATGCTCAGTCCCTCGAGGGCTCATCTGCCAGCTAATTTACCCCGAGCATGCCTTTGGAGAGCTGCGGGGTCAGCAGAACACCATATGCAGAGCTCAGAGTCTAATAAAGAGGAGATCTGGCACATGCCTGCTCCCTGACAACTGCTACGTCAGGAGCAGGCAGGCAAACTGGTGTCTGAGACTTCTTGTAATTAGGTCTCTCACAATTTATAAGGCAAATCCGAAAGTGACTTTTCTTCTTGTCGCTCCATTCCCTCGCCTCAATCTTTTGATAACAGGCAGCAAGAGGCAATCAGTGACCTGAGACTCGTGCCTCTAATATCACCTAATTTATACATCGCCTTGTGACAATCCTGTGGGGCCACCACGGTCTTCTTGCACTGGCCCTTACTAACCATAACCAGATGTAGATGACTCTCTTTAATCATCCAATTACGTTTCTGGTCTCAGACAACATTTTTCCATGAAGCAGAGAAAACTTCTTAAGGAAATTAAATGCCCATGCCACAGCCACTTGGATTTATCTGTGCTCTGCAGCACCACATTGAAGAAGGGGAGAAAAAAAAAGGTTAATATTTGTATAAAACTTTGAAGTATTTTCAGAGAAAAATAAAAAAATTACCATTTTCTCCTGTCAACAGTGCTCTTTCATTCTAGTTGCCTTTCCCATTTTTTTTTTTTTTTTTTAAGAAAAAGAAAAATCCAGAGAGGGCAACAGCCCAGAGAAAATAAATAATATATAAAAAAGAGTGAGATCAGATATTGCTCGTATCAGTGAGAAACAGCCGGTATTACTCACGTAAGAACGGATTTTTCCCCCCTCTTTCCCCCCCCTTCTTTTTAATAAACTCTCCGTATACACATAACGTCTTTAAGAAAATGAAATCCTTTTGCTGTGGGCCACGTCGCTAGAAGAAATAGTCACCACTGCTGTTATCAGTGCTTTCAAGCTTTAACTCTGAATCAAAGGCGACAATTAATAAAGTCGCCCCCGCCAGGAATGGAAAGGAGGAAAGCTAAATATTTGAAACTGGGTGAACAAATGTCAGGGTGTTTTTAAATAAAATCCTTTTACAGTTATCACAGCGAGCAGACCTGATATCCCTGTCTAATTCAATTTCAATTTGCGCCCCATGGGAGATAGTGAAGAAAAGGTTGCAATGCTGTCTTTGGGTTGATATGTTCTTTTCTCCTTCAGGAAGCAGGCACGAGAGAGGAAGGGGAGGAGGGTGAGGGAAGAGAGGAGGAGGATTCAAATACCAACAGAATATGATTCTTTTTTTCTTTTTTTTTTTTTCCAGCTGGATCCTTCCAGAAGGCAGATGTGATGTGGGGAATGTTGAAATGCTGATTTGTTGTGAATTCACCTGGAAAACATAGCTGAGGAGGAAACTGCAGAAAGGCTGTTTGTGTGCGAATAAATATTCCTGACGGGGGACCAGAATTAACTGAATGTTGATGCCAAGAGCAACACGCACTCTTCAAGGCATCCCTCTCCCCCAAAAACCTGCAAATTAGCCAACTGCACCAATTATCCTAACCTCTATCAATGTCCTGCCAAGTGTTCACAATCCTGTCACCTAACTTGTTTAAATAAAAAGGTTCTCCTTTATTTAAGCAAACAAATGTACCCTTTAATAGAAACAAAAAAACCCCAATCCTATATATCAACAAGATATTAATAAACTGCCAGATCCCACCAGCGGGATGAGCCTTCCACCCAATAACTGGATTTCACTGGCCAGAGACACAAGCCCTCTTATTCTGGCTGAAGTTGTGCCAGCTGAAATGGTTGCTGGACCTCCGCCTGCTCCTCAAAATGTCCACGGCTGGAAAGGAACAACCGTTGCACCGGGAGCAACACCAGCGCAGGAAGGAGGAGTTGACCCTTCAGCTTTGTGCTTGGCACTCCTGAGAAGCTCTTTGCTTCCACCCTGGTTCAGGGCTCCCAAGCCTTTGTTTCCTTCAGCTCTTTTGAAAAGAAAGAGCAACGAGAGACTTTGAAGCAGTTTTCCCACATTTTACAGCTACTTGGACTACACAGGACTTAGGCTGACTAGTTTAAACTCGCAGTCAAGAAGATGTTGAAGCTGAAGACTCCGTAAGATACAGAAAAGAAGCCAAAAATGTACTAGCAAACACGTGTCTCTTCACTTACTATGTCAGTGAAAGAGGCGATTATGAAGCAGTAACTACAGGCGCCTACAGGCCAACGTAGCGTGAGCTGTATTACACGGAAGCAATGCCAAACCTCTCACCTGCGGTCAGTGCTGCTGTGGGTACCAGTGCTGGAGCCTCGATGGCAAGAATACAAGCAGAAAAGACATATAAGTAGCTATCACATATTTACTCATCAGTAGCATCACACAGGGGTCTAACTCAGAGGAAAGCAGCACATCCTGGGGACAGAGTTCAGAACAGACTTCTCAAGGTACCCGAGTGGAGCCCAAGAGGACATCTGGGAGCATAACACCTGCATGTGCAGACATTCGGCAGGCAGCATCATGAATCGGAGCCCAGGATAGGGAGGATTTAAAGTTAAGCACGTGCTTAAGTGCCAAGGATGATATCAACAGCGGTGGAGGAGGAGATTTTTGGGCGCATACCTGCCCAATAAGCCTTAAGCACACTGTCCAGCTCGCTGAGCATGCGAGCTCATGCAGGGGCTCATGATAGCACGGCGTTGGTCAGTCCACCCACCTATGCGAACACGTTAACTCTGCACAGAAATGACTGTTCACAGGAATTCAAACAGCAGCTTCAACTGTGGCCTCAAGCAGGAAGCCATGCATCGCAGCAGGCTACCGAGAACGTTCTGCACCACATAAAGCTTCACTGCTGCACTACATGCAAAAGACTACCTGTGAGAGGGGTACCAGCCCGATGCAGTTAGAAAATAAGCAGGCACGATGATTTCTCTACTCATGTTCTTAATTATCCTCAGAGTTACTACAATGGAAAGAATTTTTAAATTTGGTATTTACTTGTCCCCATTTATAATGCATGTTTACTTTTAGCACATTATTCAGTTTGGACATGGAAAACAAAACAGTCAGCTTCAGTTTCATGTTCTCATATGCTAGCCCAAGGCTGTTGTACTTGGCTTGTAAAGGCTTTATGGAAATGTTTAAATTTAAACAAAAAGACTGTTTTCATTTCAAACTAAAAAAAATAATAAAGCATCCCTAGTAGGTTTTGTGAACTCTTTAAAAATGATGAAACCAAACTACCCTTCTGCCCTCAGCTGCAGATCTAAGCTATCTGTTGGCTTCCTCCTAAAGGATAAATTATCATTATCCTGACTCAATTAAACCACCGAAAAGGAATGCAACTTAGAAAAATGTTTTATTTATGAATAGTTTGCAGTCTTAAGCACAGCGCCCAGTTAATGAAGTATCACTTTCTTCAGGGATGAGAGATGCTCACAAAGGGGAGGGAATCTGTATTATTTACTGTGAACCCTGCCTGCAGAAGAATTGATTGCATCTTTCTTTAATGAGGACTGGGACAAGAGAGGCTGGTAGTGCCACTGGAGGATTATTTTGAAGCGATCATATCTGAATTTGTGTACAGGCAGGAAAGAGCAATAGTCTGGTATCTAGACCTCCCCGAGTGGAACTCTTATCAAACACCAAAGCGAAAGCCGTTGAGGGTCAAATCGCTTGATACTTCAGGGCACAGAGAGTGTGTGTGGGCAACACACTCCTGCTCTAGACTGGGACGCACATTAGCAATGTGTCTTTACACTCCAACTTGTTCAAACACATAACCCACTAAAAATACTGTGGTCCAAAAGACTAAAGGGTTTAAATAGAGCAGGAAGACAAAAAGACCAGACCGCTTGGTGCTCGCAGAAGGGTTAATCATAGACACTCTAGATGCAAATGTGCAATAATGAACAGGAATGGCATCGTTCTCTAGGGGCAGTATTCAGCTCCTTATTTAGACAAGCGTCTTGACTGACACGATGGGCATGTTAAAAGTCTGATCCAAAGCCCACTGAAGGCAGCAAGAACCAGTCCATTCACTTCAGTCCACTTAAGACCGATCAGAATTGTTAAAAGCAGACACTTACCCCTCCTGCAGGTATATGTCCGGGCCACCAAGCAATAGCTGGCTCTCTCATGCCACCTTCAAAGGTGGTTTGTTTGCCACACAGGAAACGACCATTGCTTCCTCCTAGAGAGAGAAAAGAAGCCATAAAAACCACGATATGCCAATATCATATTTCAAAGGGACACTGTCAACTAGGAAATTTTTAGGCTAGTTTTAAACGAATTTTCACTTCTGCATGAATGCTTCTTCAACTAACATGTCCAGAGTTGTTTTGGGGTTTTTTTGTTTTGTTTGTTTGTTGTGTTGGGGTTTTTTTAAATATCCCTTTATGGTGAAATTTTAGGAGTGTCTTTTCAGGTCAGGGAGCAAGTGACAGTTAAACACAACTTGCTATCAACCAAAGAGAAAAAGCCAAAAACCAAACAAAACAGAAAATACTTCACTGGCATTTTCCTTCCCTTTAAGGATGTTAACTGCTGTTTGTAACTAAAGGAAATCTGACACTTTCAGGCAGAAATAGTATTTTTTTCATAATCCTTTTAAAGTACCAGAGCAGTATTAGATGCAGATATGAGAATGAGAAATATAACCATGCATCCCCTGAATGTTCACTCTCAGAGACAGCAAGTGCTTTGCAGGAATGTCTGGGGTTTTAACCCAACCTTGTAGCTAAGCTTGCTGAGGAATAAACAGTGAGGTCTCACGACTGATTCCAGGTCACACAAAGTCAAACACAGTGGTTCAGCTGAAATCAGAACTCAGAATACTCCCTGCTCTGTGGTCCAATAACCACGAGACAGCCTGCCTCCAAACAGAAGAGAGTGGGTTAGAAAATCAATTTGCAATGACTCTGTTTGAGAGAAACAGTCATTTAAACAAAAGAAAACTTGTGAAGTAACAAAAATACTTTTTCTTCTTGATGTTTTTCAAGAGAGCTAAAGAAGGAGGGACTCTTCAACTGTCTGTAAGTACTCAGAAAGCTCAAATATGCATTTGGCAGATGGAGAGTAAACACCCTGCTAAGCTGTTGTGCCTGGTCCTAAATAAATTAAAAAATATTCACCCCCTGATAGTGGAGCACAAAGTGGAAACGCACACAGGTGAACAGCCACACTGGGTTAGGCCAAAAGTCCATTTAGCCAAGGATACCTCCTCCAACAGTGAGCAGAAGTAATGAACATAAGCTAACTCTAAATGTAAATGCTCTGCATTTTGAGGCTTCTCCTAACTGCACAAAGGAAAACCTCACGTACAGGTCTCTTCCCCCCCCAGACATGGAGATTTAAGCTTTGATGTCACAACCCCAGCCCAGGTTTATTCATCTGAGACTCACCTTCTTTAGGAGCTGAAATGAGAGCAGCCCCATTATCAGAGGTGAAAAACACAAAAGTGTTCTCACTGATACCCAGCTTCTGAAGATGTTTTAGGATTTTTCCAACGCTATCATCAATTTCTCGCACAGCATCCCCGTATCTGAGGCAAAAGTAGATGCAAAACATTAAAGGCAGCAAAAGAGGAGAAGTGTCACACAGCATAATGCATTGCAATCCGTCACAATGCTTTTAGTGGACATAATTTATACCTGTGCTGCAGAGAGAAATACTTCTTTTGTGCATCAGGTACTGTACGATTCTGTTCCATTGTCACTGCAAAACCCGTGTCTCCTATCTGCAGAGAGCAACCTCTCTTGGGTATTAAGAGTATTAAGAATTTGTACAGATGTGAGCCACTCTTGGACAGAGACCAGCAACTGATATAAATTTAGCTATAAAGTTCTCAAATACAGGCAAAGCCACCTTGCCATAGACTTGAAGCTGATAACATACCTTTGCTTATGGATGCTGATTTGAAACTGCACTCTCAGAAGCAAGGCTCACAATATCTACAGAGCTCTTTGCCTCCTGTATATTGCGTTTTTCATGCACGCTTTTCTACTTGCTGGTCTGATTTACAGGCTTTTAAAACAGGCACTAATCATACAAAAACCTTCCAAAAAGTCATCTGTGCCACATACAGCACTTCATTACTCACACAACTGGCAAAGGAGCTTAGACTTCCCCTTCTCCCCCATTTTAGTCACATGATCTTCATTTCAGATTATAGCAAAATTACTAAAGAACAATCCAAGCAAAGTCCTCACTAACTAATGTATGTCAGCACACACATACACTTTTGAGAAATGATCTGCATACTTGGATCTAATAAACATTGCTTAGGTTTTCTGTTTCTGCAGCATGAGGTATACATTAACACACCCCACACCCCCCCCCCCCCAACAAAACCAACACCCACAAAAACAAGACTTACAGTCCCCTCTGACTAGTGCCCAGGAAATGTTTGGAGGCATAAACAGGAGCATGGGTAGCATCAATTGCCCAGTATAAAAAGAATGGCTGCTGGCTGGCCTGCTGCTTGCTAATAAAATCGAGAGCTTCCTGTAAACAACAATAAAAATGAATTTAACGGAATCATCCTCTGCCATCTAAATCTCTCCAAAAAAAGAAGCATAAAGTCACTGCGGCTTAGAAACCAGCATTAAAATAGACAGTACCTGCAGGTAGATCTGAGTCAAGTTGGCTTCACCCGTCTTCAGATCAATTTTGAAATCTTCATAATACCTTAAGACAAAATGAATCAGAGAGAAAAAAAATCAATCCTAAGGAATATACAACATAAAAAGGCTTTTTCCCCCCACCCTTTACTTACTGTGTAGGTAGGTGACAAACAGGTCACGTTGCTATTCAGCAAACTCTCTTCAGATATTAAAGAGAATGTCACCATATTTTTTCTTATGAGAGAAAGCAGTGAAACAGCTAGATCCAAATTAACGACGACTGCAAGTTTTGGACAAACCTGAGCCACCGACCTTTCACTGTTAAGCTATTAGAATAGGGGTAGTATGCTTAAAGATCTCATGCCACTACTCCTTCAATAGAGAGCTGTTTGATATGTGTGTAAAATTTTCAGAAGTACACAACTTCCAGTGAGATAGAGCAATCCTGGAATCAGAACTTGGGCTGCTTTGAAAACATTATGTTTGAAGTATCTTTAGACACCAATTAAACAAAGAAGGGTGGGGGGCAGTCCTCAGGAGAATAACAGCAAGTGAAATAAGATGATACCAGACTCAAAAGCGAATGGACAAGAATGGCACAGACTGCAGACTTGGAGCATAGAATGGTGTTACGCAAACAGACAAAAGGTTATTACAAACAGGAAGAGAAGAAATAAAGAGGTCTTTCAGTACAGAATGGAACCAGCTTCCAAGAGAAGTAGTGGAGTGAAATCATCACAGGAAACCTTTAGGGCGCAACAGGATAAGCAAACATCTCTGGGAGGGAGGCACTGTAGGGCAGTCACATCCCTAGATGGTCCACACGCAACAGGCAGGTTGGCCTTGCTACTCAGGCCTTTATTAATCCTCAGAATCAAACACCTAGCTTCACATTTAACAAGCTTCAACTTTAAATTTAGATGGTAAGGTAGAGATGAGGAAGACAGGATTCCTACAAAAAGTGGTTTAGGAGTTTAGAATGAAGTTTAGTAGTCAACTACCATGCCGAGTCTCTGAGGTGCATCAATACCGTAGAAGTAGGTCTGTATTGTCTCAGCTTTAACTGGAAAAGTCAGAGTGCCACAATCACAACTGAGAAGCAGCAGGCACTGCCCAGGCAACAGTGCTTGAGTACCCTTTGCTGCCAGCATTGCCTTCAAAACCTCTTCTTCCCCGAGGAAGCACTATCCTCGCTTCCTCTCCTAGATGTGAAATTCACATACCTCTTGACGGTTAATCTATGCCTTCCTGTTTCTGTCTGCCTTGTGCGTTTTCCCACAAGGCTTTCCCTTAATTCTGTCTTAGCTCAAATGCCAACCACCACCCAGGCCTTGTAAGGCTGGGTATTGGCCATCCCCAGACTAGAGGGAAAGTCCTGTTCAAAAGTATGACGGCAAAGCAAGAGATGAGAACCTGGCACAGGATCTTGTAGAGTCCAGAAATACGAATGGGTTTAGAAAAGAGGCAAGACTAGTTCATGGAAGTTAAGTCAGTGGCTATTAAAGATCTGGACACAACCTTCAGTTTAGGAAGGTGTACAACCATACAAGAGAAGGACCATTCCGCGTATCTGTTTTCTCATACCCTTTCTATAAGCATTCACTACCAGTGGTCGTCGCAGAGTATAATGGATTAAATGGGCCTTGGGCCTGACCCAGAAGGGCTGTTCATGTCTTTCATTAACTTTTACAAGCGTCTTTCCTGCACTGGCTTACTGCTTAACTGCTGGATAGTCAGGGCAATCCGTAGTAAGCATCTCAGATCATATATGAGGCAGGATATTCCCAATGCTTGACACGCTATAAAGGTCCTCTTTGGCGAGGTGTACTTCACCTCCACAGGGTGAAGTACCTGTAGATCACTGCCCATCCAACTGAGCCTGTAACTCTGATTCTGAAGCAACTGCTGTTTTTGCCAACCCCTTTTCACTGAAATGGGTTTGCTACGCTAGCACTTATCTTCCAGCACTGTAATGTCAGCAGGGAAAGCAAAGAAAATAACATTACCAGGCAAGTAGCTGAATTACCTGCCAATCATTTCCCAGTCCCTATACACAGGGATATTGGGGAGCGCTCTGTTATCAAAAGGTCCAAAATGGCAGTTCGGGGATCCAAACCATTCATCAAACCCATGCTTCAGGGGGTGGAACTGGGGCCTGTGACCCAGATGCCTAGGAACAAAAGAAAGAGATGAGTTAAAATTCTACTGCAAAGAAGCAAATAATAATCTCATCAGAATGGCATGCAAGAAAACAATCTTTGCCTAAGAAGAAAAACTTCAAGCATTTTAATCAAATAAATGACTGCAGAGCACTGTCTTGATCTTTCTCATACTTGTTGCAAGTTCATCCATGCAAACTCGCTCCGGTGCTTACATATATCCCATTTTAGTCTACTGCCCAATCTTTGTTTTCCGTTATTTCCTTCTATTGGTGTCTTCTCTCACAGTGTCTCGATGATCTGAACTGATGGACTACGCTGCCCAAAGCCACTGCAAAGACGCACATAATGTTTTACTTAAGGATCCTGATCTATGACAAGTCATTATTATACCACTAAGCTGTAAAAACACAAGGTAAAGCTCATGAAAAGTACCATTATATCTGCATTCCCTTTATGGAGTATTCATGCTGCCAAAATGGTACAGAGAGACCTGAATGTAAATGAGAATGAGTTCTTTACGTTCACATGTGAACATAAGACACGTTTAGCTACTCCTGATGAAGCTCCATTCTACTATGCAGCTTAAAAATTCTCCGTCCTTAACTTCAAGATGAAGCTCCTCTCTAATCTCCAACTTCTATACTGCAAATTCTCCGTTTCCTTCATTTATACTATCTTGAATATACAGAATGCCCATCCTCTCCCAGTCTCTAAAGGAGATCTTTGTAGCTTAATGTTTATTGAATCATTCCAGCTTCCACTCACAAGCCTGCATCTGCAACCTCTCCATTTTGTGCCATCACCTTCTGCACACTTTCTGAACATAAGGGGCATAAAATGCATTACCTGAAGTAAAATGATCCACGGTGTTATTCTGTTCTATTCCAAAATGAGTTATAAGAGAAAATAATCATCATTCCAGCTATGATCGTATCTTGGTGATGTAACTAAAACTGCAAGTCTGACCTGCAGGATTTTACCCCTTCCTCATTTATATGCATGATAATACAAAGCTATTTCTGGCTGTTTATACCACAGGGGACCTGAAAAAATATTTTATTCTAAGAAAGCCCTAAAAGAACTTACAGAGGAAGAGACTTGAAAAAGGTATCAAATAATTACTGAGATGCTGATTATTCTCCCCCTCTCGCAACACAAAAAATAGAGAGATATTTAATGAAACGCAACAAATTCTAAACCGATCATGGAAAATACTTGACTTGCAAACATATAATTAAACTGTGGAACTTACTGTCACAGGACACCCTGAAAAGTTTTTAGAAGGGATGCTGAAAGGATATAAAAATCTGCTGGAAAACTTAAAAATCTTTACAAGCCCTAAAATTCTATGCGTGGCTAGGATGAGACTCCAATTTAACTATCGTACTTTGCATTTCTTTACACCTTTCTAGGAAGCAGGTGGTGTGCACAAATGATAGAGACCGCTGCTGTACAGTATCACTCCCTAGTCCTGTCCAGGATAACAGTTCTTGGGTGCACAACGATAGTGCACTTGCACGTTCATATTTAGTCTGCTTCTTGCTAACAGCTGCAGGCCCTTCCAGATTTGCTGTTTTCCAAATAACTGCCTGGAACCAATCTGTATTTGCGTTGTTTATTTCTTTTCCCTGGGTGTATGAATTTACATTTATTAGCACTGAACTGCATCTTATTGCATTCAGCCCACTGATCCAATTCTTCACGGCCACTCTGCTGTTTGGATTTGTGGTAATAAATAATTCACTGTCTTAGGTTAGTTTGCTATCTTTCCAATTTCAGCAGCACCGGTGAATCCGACCACAATTCAAACTCACTCTTCTCTAACTCGTTAACGAAACTGTTAAATAAATTGTATCCCATGACTTTCCTAAACAGTATCCCCCTGTTACTACTCCTGTCCGAAGTCTCTTCATTAACAATTATTCTGTTAACCAAGCAGTACTCCTCTGGTGTCTATGTAGTTTTGAAGTTGCTATTTATGCATTTATTTATTACAGCACTGTTCCAAACTGTGAATCAACTGTTCAGAGATCCCCAGACCCCATGGGATTCCATGACAGCCCACAAGCACATTTGAAATTCCAATGTTACAAATGCACCAGTTTCAACTATTACACCGTTAATTCCACTGTGCTTGTTTGATCTGAATATCTTCCAGGCTTTTCCCTTCCGATTCTTCACAGACAACACAAAATATTGGTTTTTAAAAGTTCTGTATCCTCTACAAAGACTATACTGTACTTCCATGAAAGTCCATAAAGGGCAATATTCACAGAGTATTGGATCAGCCCTCTAGGTCTTTTAAAACACCTAGTATCAACTATCCCAATCAAGCCTGTTCCTATCCACCCTGCCCTTCTACACCCGATGAACAATCTTCAGTGTAGCCCTGGAGATGTCTGCATCTCTATTTCTATACCACACACTTCTACCCCCCCAAAAAGAAGCTTTCACAATTTAGTCTACTCTATTAACAAAAAACCCCAACATATAGCAGGGGCCAAAGATAAAAAGCACGTAGGTGCTCAAGGCAAGTTCCAACGGAACATCTTGGTGTTTTTTGAGAAAATTAAGTAGTGTGATACATGGATGAAAGCACAAAGAGTTGAAGGGTTTATAAATATATATATACACACACACACACCCCCGTTTCAACTCTTTGTATGAAGATATATGTATGTACTTGTAATGGTAACACTCAATTCAGAAATTGGTCACAGCAGGGGGGAAGATCCACCACAGATTTCAAAAGTTGGACATCTGAGCTTCAAAACAGTTTTCTTCCTGCAGTTCTGGCTGTTCTGCTGCTCCTTCACAATACATACACACGCATACTGCAATCTCAAAGCAAGAGATCTTAAAATAAGTTTACCATTTGCCAATGATCTTATTGATGTAGCCAGCTTTCTTCAGCAACTCTGGAAGCAGTAATTCAGAATCTGGGATTCCTCCTACTATATCCTGTGGCGTGTATGCTGTGTAAAACAAACAAAAAAATTCTTTCCGACTCTTACAAATATTAGAGCAAACAGCTCATGGCTACCCATCATTAGAAGTGCTGTTACTGGATCAGAAATAGCAATTAGTTTGAAGTTCCAGCAATATCACTCCTTGGAAGTCCTCCCAGGCCACGAGATGAAGAGAACAAATTAATTAAGAGAGATCAAAGGGAGATCTCCACCCACTTGCACACCACGGCCAATAATAAAGGGGGCTGCCATCACAGAATGAAGGCGAGACCCTTGAAAGGGGGGGTCATAAAGAAAGCAAGTGCTTTAGGTATGCATTGGAGTTGCCTTTACTCTTGCAAATTTGCTTTGTATTTTCTAAAACGAAGGCATTTTTTTCCTAAGTCACATGATCGATTCTCTTGCTCAGAGTGCAAGAGCTGAAAGAAACCATGTCTCTCCCAGTCCACAGTTCTCTGGCCCTTGAGACTCTAAGGTGTGACTTTGGTTAGGATGGAGATAGCCAAGCACACTTGCTGATACACAGTGTGAACCAGTAGGTAGCTGCTGATTCTTGCCCAAGCTTGCACAGTTGCACGTGGCGTCTGTCACACTGGAACCAAAAATCAACCCAGAAACGTTACGTACTGGTAATCTGCCCTGGAAGCACCATGGGCACAACAGTGCTATAAAACTGCCAAGGCTGAAATGGTTAGAAAACTGGCTGCTGAATAAAACTGTAAGCAGCTTGTTCTTTACTCTGGGCGTTAGCATACGCCCCACGTGACTTTCTTTCACCAGACAACAATTAGACTGCCCAGAGGAAACACTTCTCAGCCAGCAGAAGCAAATGGATTAACCAGCCTTGTTTATGTCTCTTAATTTGAGGAGGTTTTCTGCTTGATGAGGAGGAAGCAATGCGTTTCACACTTATTACCAGTGGTTAACATGGTAATCTTTTTGTGCCACTCTGGAAGATCCACAGGGGAAGATCACCGAGCCAAGCCTTTGTTCAAAGCAAAACTTCCTACAAAGCACGGAGGGAAATCAAGAGAGGAAGGCAAATCAGGAATGAAGCCCATACCGTTTCTGGCATGTGCATTCGTGGTGTAAAAACCATTCCTCACTGGGAGACGGCCCGTCAACAGTGCTGCCCTTGCTGCAAATAACAACAAAAAGTGTTTTCTTTACATGCATTCTCTGCTTAATATTAATATTATCATATTAAGGCTGAGGACAGTGCACTGACTGAAGCACATCAGTGTCCTTTTGCCACAGCCAGCTACTAAGATCACTCACATTAGAACACGCAGCAACCCCCCTCTCCAGTGAGCCATGGAGATAGCCAGGTTCTGATACGACACCATTTGAGTCATTCCAGGACAAACCCGACTGAAATTTGGCCCCCCTATTAAATTACCCACTGCTGAAGAGTAATTACTTTCAATAGTCAATGTAGCAGCCCTCCTATCTCAGTAATTCTAAAAGGAAAACCTGACGTATATATGTAAGAGGAAATGGTAACACAAGCTGATTACATGCTTAAGGCTAAGTTTTCAAGCTTGCCTGAACAAAAGTCATGCAGTAGTGAAGAAAGAGCTGTCCAGCTTTGACAATAAGTCAGGTCCTGACTGCAGGAAACATTTAAACAGATGTTTAACGTTAAGCATATGCAGTGCCACCACTGGACTTAGCAGGACTTCAGCATATTTTAAATGCCTTTTCTGAGCAACGTCGTCATCAGCACACTGACAAATTATATCCAAAATGAAAGCCCAAATAAAAAGCCCCCGTTCCTCATTTTTGTTCCGGTTCTTGGCTGCCAATCAGGTTTGAGGAAAAAAGAAAGAAAAAAAAAAACAACCCACCCCACAGAAAAAACAGGAAGGATAAAAATATCTGCGTCTCCCAGAAAAAAAAAACACCACCCCACAGAAAAACCAGGAAGGATAAAAATATCTGCGTCTCCCAGACCCAAACGTTTCTTTTATCTATTGTCCCTTCCCCAAGAATCTTGCAAACCACCAGGGTCCAAAGCAGGACACAACCTGCTGCCATTCCTTGCATGAAAGTCTCACCAAAGCCAATGGAATCAGACAAACTCTGTACAAACTATGTTCAGCAACAATTTAGACACCGCTTTGTCTGTTTATCCCAAAATAAGAAAGATGAAAAAACATGCAACGACCGAGGCTAGAATACTAAACCAGAATGTTTTAAAAAATCCTTTAGCTGGACTGATTTGATCACTAAAACACGGCTTTGTATGAACCGAAGATTGTACGTTTTCCAATCAAAACTTAAATAAAAAGGGAGCAAAATGCAAGATCAAAGCACCAAATTCAAACTCTGCCCTGAGGGTAATCACTGGTTTGGTTGCTAGTTCATGTCAGATGCTGGCAAACGTCCCAATCTTCTCAGAAGGTGGCATGCTTACATGCTAGTTCAAAACTCAAGTTTACTCACATGGAGAACAGAGGGGGTTGGCAGTATAAAAATCCAGGAAAAGCATCCCTTCTGAAGCCATCTGGTCTAAGTTAGGAGTTTCCTTAGAAGGCTCTCCGAAAGCTCCCAAATCACCCCAACCCATCTGTAAAAAGAACACACCAAAAGATGTAAAAGTACTTTTACTCTTCCACAACGACAATGCTTCTGGGCCCACATAACGCTTTTATTGTATCCCTTCATTTCCAAATCTTTATAGTGCTCATCTCCTTATTTAGGGAGTACTTCACAAACGTGATAAAAATGATCTTCCCCAACCCTGCGAAGCAGGGAACTATTACACTTTTCATTGGCAAATGGGAAACTGAGGCACGCGTGAGATTAAATGACTTGCTAACAGGCCTTAAAACACTTGCAGCAGAACTGGGTAAGAACCCTAACGCCTTCACTCTTACTCAAGCGCCTGAAGGCTGGCAGGCGCACACATACCGGGGAGGAAAAGGAAGTTACACCTGATCTGCTCAGTGTTGTACAGCTGCAAAGTCTGACCCTTCAGTCCCTGGCTACGTGGTTTTGTGTTGGACCATTGACCCCAGGACTCCATCTCAGCCTGCTGCATCTATCTATCCATCTGTGTATATGTAATTAGAAATGCAAGGACAAGGTCTAAACGCAAAAGCAGTGCTGCTGGAAAAGAGGGAAAGTGTTTATTTTAAAATCAAGCTCTGGAGAGAAACCTGCCAGAGGCATCATATGCCATTCTGCTTATTTGCAAGACAGCGGTTTCACCCTGCGCCTTCCTCCTAATTCAGAGAGGTCACATGCCACGAGAACCGTAAAATCACCATCACGTTGTCTACGTTCGTTGCTGAAAACTATTACTGGTAATAATACAAATAAAAGTAAGTGACTTACAACAGAAGGTTCTAGAAGGGAGCAACTTAATGAGCAATTAGGCACCATGGTTGCTGGAGATTATATTATGCTTTGAAAGAGGCAATAGCTTTCTTTAACACAGATGCATATCAGGTGAGCAACTGATACGGAGGGCGTAATGCATCGAGATCTTTAGAAAACCATCTGTCTGGTCCCATTTGAGAGTCTAACATTTACACTGCAGTGGTGCAGTTTGGAAAAGAAAATTGCTGGAGAGCTGCAGAGCCGGCTGTTGAGGTTTGAGTGAGGAGCAATTAAATGTTACCACCTAACACTAGGGTGTGGAATTAACATGGACTCAACGGGATCACCCCCGAGTTCTTGATTCTTCAGTGTCTTTATCATCAAGGAAGAAAGAAAAAAAGAACATCGTGTTGCTCTAATTCACACACAGTGACAGAGTCACAGAAATTACCGAAGGATCAAAGGAAAAAGACCATGGAAATGTATTTTTAATGAACGGTATATTAAATAAATAAATAGTTCACAGAAGCTCCAGTCAGGATCTGTGCCTCATCACGTCTTGTACCGTACCAACACTTCTAGAGTGGGATAATCTCTGCCCCAAGGAGCTTTCATCTCGAAAATTACGAATACCAGCTTGGGGGGAAATAATTCTGAATGGAAAATTGAGATGGACTGCCGGAGGCTCAACTGGCCAGAAAAACTAGGCTTACAAGGTAATTATCTTGTACAGGAGTGTAGAAACACTATGAAATCAACAGTCATGTTGAATTGGCAGAACGGAGCCAAACAGGCGATAAGAGCTTGCCCACCCTTCGTGTCACAAACCCACCCTCATTAGCTTTTCAAGTAGCTTAAAATGGCACACAACACGTTTATAATACAAACACACCTGAAAGATGACATGAAAATATTGGAAGAGAAGCAAAACAGGAAGATGGCAGCAACAACGTGTTGGAAACGAATATATTTCCTTACCCATGCGGCTAAGACCACTACAGGGTGCAAAAGCGAAAAGACTTTTAGTTGGAAACAAATCTGTGATTATTTCTGCTCTTTAATGATTTATTGCCTTTTTTTTTTTTCTTCCCCCAGTTCAGAGAGCAAAAATTAGCGGAATTAGTTTTGTTCTTGTTTAGATTTTCAGGAGGCAAGTTTGGGTTTCTAAAACATTTCCTGAAACGTATTGGAGTTTCTTCGTCTACGCTTGTAGATGCACCTTATTCAGTGCTACTACAACTACATCCATCGCTGGTATTAGAAGATATCGCCACAATTATTTTTGTAGGCTACAAAACCAAGCCTTAACTTCAGAACGATTCTACCAAGGTTTGAAAATCACCAAAACATCCTGTTTTTCAACATTTACCAGCCGGTGGAACCCTTCGCCAAGGACTGTGGAGTTAATTGCTCAGTCATTATGAACAGACTGATAGATAAGATGATTAGACTTCTAGATAAGGTATGTAGTTGTGTAAGCACCGATTCCAAAAGACTTGCATATGGGCTTGACTTTATAGATCTGAGAAGTCTCATTTGTTTTCAGCAGGACATCCACACACAAGGAATAACGAGAGGTTTGTGTGCAGTGTCTCTAGTGCAGGTCACCCAGGGCAGCTCTGCCCTGAAGGAGGGGCAGGGCAGGGATACGCCAGGCCTGGGCCTTCCTTTCCTTTCTTCACTGCTTCTTACACAAACTCGGGAAAGGACTCAAGAAAGAAAGCAACCGAGCGTGATGGCTTTCAGAGTAAGTACTTACAAACTTATTTAAATATTCCTGCTTATTTCAATCAAACTTTTCAAGATCATCCCATCAACCCGTGAGCTGCGCCTGAATCACTGTGCTGAAGACCTCTGACCATGAATCACGGTACAGACCCTATTCACGTGCTGTCCCACAGGCGCTGGCCTACCGACAAAGGGAACAGATGTAGCAGACGGCTGAACACGGAGGCCACGCCACCTGGAAGGGGTGACGCGTGAACCTGGACGCTGCGACCTAGGTGGGATCGTGCACATGAGGGAGAGCTCTGCTCGGCAGGAGTCAGTGAGACAGAGCTCTAGGGAGCACAAAGAAGCAAATAAATGCTCAAGACACGCTCTCAAAACACAAGTCTTGCCAGGCCCAAAAATGGCCCTTGATGTGCACTTCGGAGGATGTCCAGAAAGAGTAATTTGCAGGATAAGGCTCATGGAGAGCCAACTTGATGAAACCTCTATTTAAAGGCCTCTGCCTCGGCACCAGTACAGCTTTGGACCTAGCCCACGCGCCACGATGCTCCCGCGAACTCGGGGACGACCACCACGGCATCTCTGACATGCCGTGCAAACAAATTTCCCGGGCATCGGCAGAACGTTTCTAACAGCGGCCCTGCCCGCAAGGCGCTGGTGCTCAAACCGTGCCCCGCCGAGCGCCCATCGCCAGGGCCTGGGTGAGGGTGGGCCA